GAGAGGTTTTAATACGGCTTCGATACACTTTAGTAAAATAAATTTATGTAAGGATAGATTAAAATAGTCAAAATGATCATCTAACTGGTATATCCCTTATATATTGCATGAAGATGTTTCAGAATTCGTTGATCTGCAATTTGGCAGAAGACAAGAGTGCAGATAAAATCTGGCAGGGATATATTTCACTACGATAACAGTCTCAAAGTTGTTTTTAAACTTTTTGTCTTGCACTAACAGCACGACAAATTTTTACAGCACAAATTTTATACTTCACAAGTTATAAATCTAATCGTTAATTCCAGCTCGAAGGACCAAAATGTTAACTCCAACCCGTTCTTGGAGCTATGGAATATAATTATATAAAAATAATTATTATGAAGTTGACAAGTTCGATTCATCAGATGATCAAAGGCAAAATCCATATAGCAATAATGTACCACTAACTTCATTAAACTTTGAAGTTCAAAGAGTTCTGAAGGTTTTTGTGTTGATAGTTCTTGCTTGCTTTTTGTAATTCTGATTTTTATAATTCGCATGTTAAAAATCGCATGTTTTTAAGGATTCTCTTTAAAAAGGATTCTCCTCCACCACACAGGTATCCTCTAAAGTTCCTGCCATGTTGCACTCGTGAGCTTGCAGATCTTCAGTGAGAGTATACAAATGTGCAAACGTATACAAGTCCAACGTTGCGGACTTCCTGGTTAAGTGGCAGCTTAAGAAAGCTGCTTAGAATGAATCCGAGAGATTATGCCTCACTCATAAGTCCGTTATTTTCCCAGAAAGCTGTTTTTCGCACATGTTTGCAGTAATTCTTTTCAGATAAAATGATGCTAATTGCCGTTGAGACTGGAATGGCTATAAATGTTTCAGGTACTAAGACTATATTGACATTTTAGCCATGTCGAATGTGCAAAACAAGTGATTACCAAATTTTTCTCTTAAAAATGGCATTGTGCTTACAGCATTATCCTAAGCCATCTATTTATCTGGATATCATTTGCTCAGTGTCTGAACAATATTATAATTTTTATTCCAAAAAACACAATTTAAATTCAAAAATCTATAATAACTCTAGAATACCAAATTATTAAAGTTTTAAATAATATAATATATAGCAAGTTTAATTTAATTTTAGAGTTTAAATTTAAATTTTTGATCAAATATATTATATTCATATTGATAAAAACTGATTAGAAAGAAACATGTAAGAATATTAAATTTTATTAAAAAGTAATTAATTTTGCAGAGCTATTACAACAAATTTTAATTTTTTTTCAATTAAAATATTTAAGTTCTTTTTCATATAGCGATTCGTAAATTAACATTCGTGATTTATACATATATGATGGAAATCATATACAGTATGTGCATGTATATTATGCATGTATATTATGTATATTAAACAATATAATTTTCATGAGATTATAATTATGATTTTATAATTATTTTTATTTTATAATTATACGATTTATTATCAATGATATTTTTCGAATTGAAACGATTGATGAATATAGAAATTATTCATTTTCTTAGCAATGATAACAAAAAAAGCAAAACAGAAAAACACATTAAAGAAAAAAAATTTGAATGTTTTCAATTTTTATAAAAATGTATAAGAACATCTCATTAAATTCCAAATTTGAAATTTGTATTGAAAATTTTGTATTTTGTATTTGAAAGCTTACTTACAAAGTTCTATTAATACAAAGTATAAACAAAACTATAAGTATAAACTAAACTTCTTATATTAATAATAAAAAACTGTAAATTTTTAGTTATGTTATTGTCGTAAGAAATGATCGAAATGATTGCAAAATTCTTTATTCAGCACAGAAGAATATTATAAAATTAATGAATTAGATTCTTATTAATATTCAAATATTTTATTTATTATTATTTTATATTTGACAATAATTAAATTAACAAATTTTTTGTTTTTTATGATAAAATATATATTCTATTTAATGAGAATGCAAAGATCAATATGCATTTTATGTTATAATGTATGTTTTCTATATAAGATATCTCAAAAATGTATCTGTTAATTGGAGATTCCTAAGGTAATTTTAAACATTTTCTTTTGCAAAAATTTTCGTTAAAATTTTTGTTAAGTTATTAATAAAAAACATTGGCCAATTACGGAGCGCATAGCCTAATTCAGTTACGTTGATTATGTTTTACTGAGCAAAAACAAATAATAAATATAAATATCGAAGAAAACGTGTTGAATATAATAAATATTTTTTTATAAAAAATTTAATAAAAAAATTATATCGAATTATATCGAACAATAAATAAATTATAATATTCAATATCATTCATTTAATAGCATCTGTAAAAGTGAATAATTTAATTGTATATAAGAATTTAATATAATATATAATTTAATCAAGTAAATATTTTTCAATATTTTTTCGTTTATTTCGATTATTTAACGCTAATGATAGATTGATTTTTAATGATTCATTTTTTTTATTAATTATAATAGTTATTCATTTTATCAGATGACATTTATATGTTGTAATAACATATGAAAATATAATATAATAAATCAATATATTAAGTCAATATAATATTATAAATCAATATTTTTACAAATTATATATGCCAATAGAGACTAATTATTCCTTATTATAACTCAATGCATTTTACTATAACAACTTGCTGTTATTATAAATATATAAATTGTTCTTTCAAATCTACCACTTCGATCTATAATTTTTAAATTTTGCCATTTTATTTCATTTTATTCAATTATTTTTTATATTTTTATATTTTTTAGCATTTATCCAACTTAAAAATTGAGTTTATTTTAAATGTAGAAACAAAAATATATGTTTACTGGAATTGTGATTCCGATAAGTGGTGTTATGATTTTTGATTTCCTCTAAAAGATTAATTAATTATATTAATTAATATTATTAATGATTCAATGTTATTAATGATTTATGTAATTATTAGATTATTACTATTATTATGTTATAAGTGTGACTTATGGAATTCGAAAGAAGGCAAAGATTTGAGATCATTGATTGAGATTTAAGAAGAATTTTATTTTATTCTAAATTTTCTTTATAAATGCAAATATAACTTATAATTATTTTTTTTTAAAAAAACCGATTTTTTCTTTCGAAAAACTATCTTATCTTCTCCCAGTAACCCTTTCTAATCGTTTATTATATAATAACTAGAATTTTCGCAAGTAAATACCTTTGAGAAAAAATTTTGCATATTGCTCTTATAGATTTCAATTCATTATTTATTAGAATTTCATTGTTTCTTTTATGATTTACATTATTTCGCATATTTTAATTGTGTTATTACTTATTATTATTTATTAGTTACAATATCCATTTATTTGATATAGATATAACACATTTATCGATCTTGAAACACAATATTATTATTAGATTATTTTTAATACATTATTATTTTTATTATTTTAAAGATAATATTCATGATTATTATTTTGTATGATTTTAAAAAGCATATTTTTGTTGATATAAAAGTTAAAACAAAGCTTTGGTAATTTAAATATTATTAACAAAATTGTATTTTATTTTACTAAAAAATGAAATATTTCATTAAAAAGTTTCTTTCAATCTCAATAATAATTTATTTAATATACGAAAATAATTATTCTATAGTGATTTTGTACAATAAAATCACAAAGATCAATGATCAAAGATCAAAGATCAATATGATCGAAGTTATAAATAATTTGTTATGAATAATATTCTTTTTTAATATTTTTAATCATCATAATGAATTATATAAATTCATATATTATATTTATATATTCATATGTTATTATTTATTTATTTTAAAAAAAATTATGTTTTTTTGTGGAAATTTCTTTGATTTTTTAGCATAAAACTGATCAAATTAAATGATTTTAAATTAAAGAGTTAAATTAAAGAGTCTTATTAGTGTTTGTTCATAGTCGAAAATGTTTTTAAATACTTTAACCATAAATCAATAGATTTTTTATATAACATATATTAAAAAATATATTAAATATATAATAAAATATAATAAAATATTAAATTAATATATTAAATAATATATAAAATAATATATTAAATAAATATAAAATATTACAAATAAAAATTTTATTGATTTAAGTAATATATAGTATGTTATTGTATTAATATATAATAATGTAATGAAAAGTTTGTTAATTTATTCTTTGAATATTGTAAAATATAAAATCACTATAAATACACTATAAAATCGAAGAATGCAATTAATGAGAATAATTTACAAATATCACATTACAAATATATGTTATCAAATTAAGATGATGTTTGTGCAATTATTCTTATTAAAATCAATAAATTGAATCAGTAAAATATAAAAAACAATAATACATATTTAAAAAATGTGATAATTTTTTTTAAAATAAGAATAAAACATACTAACACATAGACTATTAAAAAATCTAACAAAAAATAATTATTAAACTATTTAAAACATATAAAAAAGAGGAACAATTGAACATAATACATAACTTTTTAAATGAATTATTATTTAAATAAATTGATATAAATTTGTTACGAATATTTTAGCAATATAAAAATAATACATTTATTAATATATTATTTATTTATTATATAATAATACATTAATTAAATTAAATAAATAAAATTTTCATTAAGTAGAATATGCTTTATTATAAGAAAAACAAAAAATTTATTAATTTAATTATGGCTAAATATAAAGAATCGATAAAATATTATAATGTTTGAATATTGAAATAAAATAAAAATAAAATAAAATAAAATAAAATATTAAAAATGATTCTATTCGATAAATATCTTATCGAGTTGAACGCAATTTTAAAACATATTTACACATAAATTGTGATTCATAAATCGTTGTATTCAAAATGAGTATAAAAGAGATTTTTTTTTCAATTTTTAATCATAAAAAATAAACATAATTCTATTTCTAAAAAATAAAAATTTCTAAATTAATAAATTTATTTTTCATTACAGAAAAAATGTCATTATATATGAAATTGTCTATATTCATAATGAATATTATTAGTATATTTATACGACCTATATTGTGGTTTATGTATAGAAAAAGACTACCGAATATACCTCCAATTAAAAATCCTTTATTAAGATTAAGTGCAACTACAATAGCAAGAAAGATCAGAAACGGAGATGTAAGCAATTAATCACAAATTATTTCTTACAAATATGTAATAATATAATGGTAAAATATATAAGTTCTATTATTTTATTTTAATCTATTTTTACTTTTTTTTTATTATTTATATTTTTACAATTATCTCATAATTTCTTGTTATTATTACAATAAATTTTTTAATTTTTTCTTTTTTCTTTTTTTTTGTCAAAATAAAAAGCTTTTTTTAAAATAACAAAATATATATTAATTCAAATTTATAATTTATAATTTATAATTTATAATTTAATTTCATTATTGATAACGCATTATTGATTACAGTTTTTTTTATGATTAAAAATAATTCTGTTCATTGAATATAGCTTAAAAGTGAAACAATAGTGAAAGCATATATTGATCGTATCCAAGAAGTAAATCCTTTTATAAACGCAGTAATAGAAGACAGGTTCGAGCTAGCTATAAATGAAGCAAAATTATACGATGAACAGTTGAAAAGTGGAAAATTCATTATACACATATTGGAAAAGGAAAAACCACTTTATGGTGTACCAATTACTATTAAAGAAAGTTGTTGTCTATCAGGTAATGATCTGATATATTTAATGAAACAATAATTATGAAATATTCATTTTTTAAATTAAAACATTTAAGTTTAGATATATAAATATACATATGTATATATATAATAGATAGATATCTATTATTGTCTAGACATAAATATTATGTCTATTATATAAATATTAATATTTATTATGTATATACATATGTACATATATGTATATACATAATAAATATCATCAAATATGATATATAGTATATATATGTATATTTTATGATATATAGTATATATATATATGAAGAATTAGATAAAATTAATTAAAACATAGAATATCCTCTTTTGTATCTTTTTTTCTTAAATAATTTAAAAAATAATTTAAAATATTTAAAAATTCTTTAATATTCTTTATTAAATATTATAATATAAAATTCTTTACTAAATATAAGATGTTAATATATTTATTAGATATCTTTAGAAGATTGAAACCAAAAATTAATATACAAAAAAATTAGTTCAAATTTATTTATTAAATTATGAGTAATTTAAATTCGTGTTAAATGAAGTAAAACGAGAATATGATTTTACTTTATTTTCTTTATCTCATTTCATCTAATGTAAACTTCAAACTTGATTATAATCTAATAAATAAGTTTTTACTGATATTTTCGTATATGTCAATTTTCGTGTTTGTTTCGGCTTCTTTGAATCAATTTTTCAAAAGTGTTTTACAAATATACTAATAATTCTGTATAATACAATAAATTTAATCAAAGAATCCAATATTGAATTCTTAGCAGAGTGTTTTAAATTCAAAAATTGATTTGTTGAAAAAATTAAAACATATTTAGAATGGAGAATATGATTTATTCTATATTTCTTTTTCAATAAATTTAATATCATATCAAGTTTTTTTATCAAAATCATATGATTAATTTTTGAAATAATAATTTTTTTTTAAATTAGGAATGAGTTATACTGGAGGTTCCTTATTAAGAAAGGGAATAAAGGCTTTAGCAGATGGATCTACAGTAAAAATAATAAAAGATGCTGGAGCCATTCCTTTGTTAGTTAGTAATACTTCTGAATTCTGTACAAGTCTACATAGTTATAATTTTCTTTATGGTCATACATTAAATCCATATGATAGAAGAAGAACACCAGGAGGATCATCAGGAGGTGAGGTAAATATTAATTATGTTATTTGCATTTTTATATTAATTTCAATTTTTCTTTTATATAATAAAAAATCATAAATTATGGTAAAATTATAAAATTTTAACAATTATGGTAAAATTGTGAAATTATGTATATTTATATAGTATATGTTCGTAGAACATTTCAAAAGTTGATTCTAAAATGAACAAACAGAAAAATTAGTATATAAAAATATTATTTGAGGCTTATTTATTCAATTATAATTTTGCATTAGATAAAACAAAATGCAAACGGAACTAACAGTACGACGGAGATAGTACGAATCATTTTCATCTGATTTCATTAATACAAATTTTAATTGTTATAACTTAATAAATAAGCTTCAATCAATATTTTTGTATAGCAAATTAATTAATTTTATTAAATTATTGTTATTAATTAAAATTATTGTTATAAACTTTTTAGTTTAACTTTGTTAAAATTATTATTATATAATTAAATACTATTTAATTTTTTGCAATCAATCCTTCAAATCATATATTATATTAATATATTTATATATTAATATTGCTTATATATAAAGAGTATCTTATAAAGAGTCTCAAAATTCAAGATTTGAATTTTGTACCATTTGGTAGTGTTGCTAATGAAAAAAAAAAAGACAGTATGATTATTAAAAATTAAGCGCTAAGTTTAGGATTAAAAATGAAGTGCTACACGAAGAAACAACATTTTTTTATTGTTGAACAATATTTTAAAAATAAGATTTGGCAATTACAATTTGTATTTTTTGAATAAAATTATCTTCACCGATGAAGTTCATTTTCATCTTGATAGATTAATCAACAAGTTAATCGACAAAATTATCGCATTTGGGATTCAGGAAATCCATGAATGATTCTTGAGAAATAAATTTATCTTGTTTGGTGCGGATTTTGGGCTGTAGACATCATTGGACCATTCTTCTTCGAAAATGCGGCTGGTCAGGCAATAATAATTAATGGTGCTTGCTATCGCGATATGGTCTAGTTTTTTGTGCCTAAATTGCAAAATATGGATGTAGACGATATGTGGTTTCAACAAGAAACAAGCATGTGGTGGTACCACATGCCATATAGCCCGAAAAACAATTTAATTACTGAATCATTTTCTGGTTATCAGAAAAATCAGTGTAATTTCCTGTTTTAATAATCAAAATTAGCCGCGCAGATCGTACAATTTAACGTCGATTTTTTGGATTTTTTTCTCTCTCTGAGATTTTTTGAAGATTAAGGTTTATATCGACAAGCTCACAATCTTTCATGCCTTGAAAAAGGAAATTAAGAGCTGTATCAACGAAATTCAGCCATATTTAGGCAAAATGATCATAGAAAATTTCAACAAAAGAATGCGTATGTGTTAGGAAAGCCATGGAGGCCATTTACGCTTTTCCATAACCCTATACTGTATACTTTATGAATCAATAAAAAATTTATAATTTTTAATTATAAATCTGTGTTTTCTATCAAAATTACTTCTTGTGTGAATATTGGACAACTTTTATAACAAATATATTATAGCATAAGAATAGAAATATTACATTATATTAAATATAATTATTAATAATGAATGTATTTGAATTAGCAATGGTTGTAATTAAAATAATTCGATGAATGGAAATGAAAAAATTTTCATTGTTTTAGAAATGTGATCATTGACTTTTTTATTTCAAAGAATCGATATCATCGTTTATTATATTTACGGATATGATAACTTATAGCATTTGCAAGTTTGAATTCTTTTTATTATATATATATATATTAATAACAATTATGGAATAACAATATAAAAAAGAATTTTTTAAATAAAAAAAGTCAACGATGACATTTCGAAAACGATGATAATTTTTTCGTATTCATTCATCGAAGTATTCTAATTACAATTATGGTAAATTATTATTTAGGCAATATTTTTAGGAATATTATCTATTTATTTTATTTCATTACATCTTTAAAATGATATTAAATATTTATACATTTCAACAGTTCATTTTTTTGTTGTCTTGAATTGAATTTAAAATTTAAATCTTTAATACATACATAGAATTATTATAGAAATTTTATAAATAAATATACATATCCTTCTATTTAATTTTTTATTTTTTTGAAGAATAATAAAATAACAACAATAATAATAATACTGATCTTTTACTTATTAATTTTTATTTTATTTATTTATATATTAATAAAAACGCTGCATTTTGCATAAGTTTGTTATATTAGATTTAATAATAAATTGTAATTCTACATTTTTTAAACTGTTATAGATTTACATAAATAATTATTTTTAAAATAAATAAGAATAGAAAATGAGTTTTCATACATATAGAGGAGACTAAGAAGATACATAAGGAAGTTTGATACATTTTTATATTTCTTATATTAAAAATAAAAGAGAAGCCTATATACTTCACTATAGATTGTTCTGTGTAGATCACGTATATTATAATTGGTTTAAGTAAATTTAATAATTTAAAACTATTTTATTATTTAAAGAAGATATATTTGTTTTAAAAAATGTATATTTTACTTATATAAAATTTTTATCATCATATTTTTATATTGTATTGATTTTTATGAAATATCATTAATTTTACGTGAAAATATATTTATTATTACATATATGTATCAATTTTTATTGCTTTCAATTTAAGATTAAATATTGCTAGAATTAATATTTTAAAATTCCATATTTTGATAGGTATAAGACATAAATAAAGATTCAATACATACATTATATTTCCAAAATAATTTAACTTTACATTTTTTTGTAATATTTTTCAACTAAATAATGGCTATGAAATTTGTATTTTAATAGATATGATTTAAATTAATCTAAGTATCGTCAAATAAATTCATCGGATAATATGAAAAATGCTGTACTGGAAATTATTAATAAAAATAAACTAATAAAAACAATAGTTAAAAAGTAAAAAATTGATAATAAATGACATTATTTAAATATATAATTAAATATAAAAATGACAAAAATACAGTTTTTTATCCAAATTTTATAACACCATAATATTCATATGTCATAATATACAAATACTTATAAACGAAGAACAAAAATTACTTTCAGAATATTTATTAATTTCAGCAAATTTTAATTATGATCTTGTTGTATATATATATATATATATATATATTAATTATATTCACATTCGAAACAAATTTTCCAAAAAAAAAGCATGAATTTAATATCAAATTTCTATATGTGATATTCTAAATAATATCACATATAATATGTTGAAGCATTTGAACAAAAATATTTCATTATAAAATTTATATGAAATAAATTGTTTTTATGTTTCATGTCTCTTACAATTATGTATCAAAAATATTTGTTGTTTAAGTTTAAAAAATTTATGTTTGCTTTTGTTAATGAATAGAATGTAAATATACAGAAACATTATTAAAACATTATTTAGTTTTTTTATATGCAATTTTTTTTTCTAAAGTGTATCAGCTCTTCCTAATTCTTTTTATATTAATGAAAATGCATCAATACTTTTAAATTTCTTAGATAATTGCGGGAAATATGCTTGTATATGAGTTATGATTACAATTTTAAAATTTTTATAATAATTTTATTACGTAATAAATTGGTTTTGTATTGATACTATGAATTCTTGTACTTTATATATAACTGAATTTTTAATTCAGTTTTTATTTGCGACAGGAAAATATTCACAGAAATTATTTTGTAAAATTTTTAAATGTCATATGATAAATGATACATTTTTTTCAGATGGAATTAAGAAAATTTGTAAGATTTATAAAATATATTACATAAATTTATAAGATTTATAAATATATTATTAAATATATAAATTTCAATATATATATTTCAATAAATATATTTCAATATATAAATTTCAATAAATATTTCAGTGTTTTGATTTAATAGATAATGTCATAATTTTTTAATCAGTTTCAATTTTATCTTTCATTTCTTTCAAAATTGTGATTTTTTTTTTCAATCATTTCCAGTCATGAGATATTAAAAACTTATTTTTATCTAAATATTTTTTTTAGATATATGTAACATATATCAAGAAAGAAATCAATAGCTCCAAATGATGTTTCAAATATAATAACTTTTTTAAATTAAAAAGATTAATTTACTAGATAACATGTAAAAAGAAATTTTAATTTGTTGGAATCACAAAAGAAAAATAATGAAAATCGCTTTTAATAATTTTTTATTTAATGAAAAAATATATTTTAAATATTTATTTTAGTTATATAGTGTATGCTGTAAAATTTATTAAAATTGATTAACATAGAAACAAGCAATAGATATAACAAGCAATAGATATACATCAAAAGATATAAAAAACTTTAGATTTTAAAAATAACTGTAATTTTCATTTATATTTATTATTTAATCGTGAAAAATATTTTTCAACGAAATATTTAATATGTGATACTATATAAACTATAATTATTAATTTACTCATATAAAATTTGATTAATATTGTTTTTTTTTGTTGAATTATATTATAAAATGTTTATCTATTCAAAATCGACTTTTTATTTTATATTTGAAATGGAAAATCTTTAATATTTTATTTATTTAATATTTTATATTTCATGTAATATAAAACTAAATAAGTAGTAAAAAATTTTTTTCAAATTAATACATTTATTAAATTAATTCTTTTTGATATATTGAAAGATATCATTCTTCTCTAAATAAAAGAATGAAAGTGCAGAATAGAAATTCAGCTTAAAGAAAAAATTGTACAATAATCTTTGCTTCTTTGATAAAAAATAAAAATATAAATCAAAAATTTAATTTGAAACTATTAACTGAATTTAAAATAAAATTAAATAAAAATCTTTTTACAATTTTTTGATTTGCAATTTTATAAAAATATTATTTTAAACTTTTTGTTTTCATTTCATTATTCTATATTTATAATTAATTTAAAATTCATTATATTCATATATAGTTTCTGTATTCATAATTAAATAAATACATTTTTAATTTAATCATTGCTGTTACTATCATTTTTTATATTTCTTGATTTCTTAAATATATTTTTTGGATGAATATATAATTTTATTTTACTCTACATTAATTTTCTGCAACTTATTTTATCATTTTCAAAGATTTAGCGAATATTTCATTTTTTTTAGTATAGTATTCTAAAAAAATAAAATTAAACATATTTAATTAATTTTCTAATTTTAAGAATTAATAAATCTCCATATGTTGAAATACTTACTTACTTATTAAATATATTTTAATATATTTATTTAATACTATATAAAACTATAATTTACTTTAAATAATACAATAAAAACAAGATATTTTTTTATCTTTTGATGCAAATAATGACAAAAAGAAGTTATGCCTCTTATGAATATCTAAGAACCATTAATGATCTCTTGCCAATTAATATGATGCAATTATTAATTAATAATTTACAAATAAAGATTTTAAATTCAGAATTTTTTATTTGTTAAAATTTTAATTTCTTCTTTGAAATAATGAAAAAAAAAGTTTATTAATATTGTATTGATTATTTGTAATTTATAATTTGTAAATTTTGTTAATAATATTAATTCAACTTTATCAGAATGTCTGGAATTAATAACTTGTGCATTTAAAAAATATATTATTATATTTACATTTTATTATATATTTACATTTTATAGGCAGCATTACTTGGTGCAGGAGCATCACTCATAGGACTTGGTTCGGATATAGCTGGTTCCATAAGGATACCATCTCTCTTCTGTGGTATTTTTGGTCATAAACCCACTACAGGTATTATAGTTAAAATTTGTAATAATAAACTGTTATATATATGAAATTTATATTGAATAATTTTGTATCTAATGCTATTTATTTAATAAAGTTTATATTAAATAAGTGTAATATATTAAATGTAAGAAAAAAAAGAGATTAAATCCCAATTTTTCGAGTAATTGAATTAAATTATTCAAGATCGAGCAGCAATTGTTCTTCTTCTTTATACAATCATAGATTTAATAAAATGTTAATATATATTTGAATATTTAATTTTCTGAATTTATTATTTATAATTTTTATCTTTGTTGAACGGAAATAAAAACATTTAGGTTTAATAAATTATTTTTATTTATAATTTAATCTATCATTATCTTCATCATTAATATTTAAAATATATAATATATAAATATTTATATAATTATATATTTATATTATTATATATATATAAATATGTAATATATAAATGTAATAAATAAATATAATATATAAAATATTTAAAATAGTTATAAATATTAATATTTAAAATGATTAATATTTGCTGCAAAGAAAAATATGTATATATAATAATACATAGTGAAAAGTAAGATTCAATATAAATTTTCATGTACATATTAAATTTCAATGAGAAATTATATATATATATATATGTTGAATATTATAGTTTACTTATAAATAATAGTAATAGTTCGTGATATAATATCTTATATATAATTTTTATATTAATTTTTTATAAAAAAATATTTGTTATATTCAATACTTTTTTCGTTTTGAACTTGTTCGTGTAATGTTGGCTGCATGTAGTTAACGCTATTGTTGTAATTTAATTAGACTGCTTTGTAATTAATCAGTATTTTTTGTTAATAACTCATTAATATATTTATAAGGAAAGTTTTCATTTTATAAAGAAAAATATTATTTGAAATTATCTCAGAAATCTTCAGTTTCTGAATATTAATATAAACGGAATATAAATGGATGTTTCTGAATATTTTTTGATCGCCCTTTTTATTGTATATAATTTCTTATTGAAATTTTAAAAAGAAAATATACGATTGTTTCCTTCTTTTTTAAAATTATTATTAAATGTGATTATTATTTTTTTTTTATTTTTTCTTTGATTGTATGTATTGATGAAGAGATTAAATAATATAAGATAAAGCAAATTTTTAAATATAAATTGTTTAATTTATTAAATACTGTATTATTTCTAAGCGAAATTGGATTATATATAAATAAAATACATAAAGACTTTTATAATTAAATATATATTTTTCAATATTAAATACATTCATTCTTCAACTTATATCATTCTTTTTTATGTAGAGTTTCTTTTTACATAATGAATCTGTTTATATGGATTTTTTATACCCAGTTTTAATTAATATTTTTTATGCGATTCTTTTTTCTTCACTTTCACTATAATTAGTATTATAAAATACAAATATCGAGATTAATATAATATATACTAATATTATATATTTTCGTTTTCTTAATATAACATTTTTTTATATGAGATAGAAAAAAGTTTTAAGAATGGACATACTATGATGATTTCTAAAATTCGTAATATCGATTATTAATTAATGTATATTCGATTGATTTTTAAATATCTTCTTTTATAAAAATAATGAAGTTCCAATTTAATTATTTTTGATTTCCATTTTATTTAGGAATACAAAAAAAAATCTTTCTAATTTTATTTGTATTTGATTATGAATTTTGAATTATTTAGAATTTTTAGAAATTAAAAATTAGAAATCTTTCTGATTTTATTTGTACCTAATTATAAATTTTGAATTACATTATATTTAAGATTTTTGAAAACTTTAACATTAACATATATATATATAAATATATATATATATTTGGAAGATTATTCTAAGTAAAAAAATAATATATATATACACTATATACTATTTTATATATACTATTTTTTATATATACTATAGATTGATTTGTTCCCGAAACAATGATATGAATCATAAGAAATCAAACGAAATATTTAATTTTTAATAATCATTTGAAACTGTATTTTATATTGATTTGTATTGGCATATAAATAGATGTTTTTAAATCGCTAAATATATTTTTTTGCACGGTTTTTTATATAAAATTGCATTAAATTAAAAACTTATTACATCAATATTTTTTAATTAATAGCAAACATTAGAAAACAAAGTATTAAAAATGGTCTTATTAATATTTAATAAATTATATAGAAAATATACTTACTTAACAGTTATTTCAATAATTTATATAAATAAAGTCAATATAAATCAATATAAAAAAATAATTATAAAAAAATAATTACTATTAAAAGTTAAATAATTGAAATGCATTCTTATTTATGGAATAATATAGGTTATTTTATCTTTTTTATTTTGAGAATGAAAATGAAATACCTATATATAATATATATATAATAATATATATATAATATTATATATATATATATATATATATATAATATTTTTTGATCAAAATTTACTAAATATTATATATATATATATATATATATATATAATATTTTTTGATCAAAATTTACTAAATATTATATATATATATATATAATATTTTTTGATCAAAATTTACTAAATATATCAAATATTTTTGTTTTTGATTTGATTCATACATATAACGATGTATGTTATTTTAGTATTGTATCTTTAAAATAATTTTTTTTTATAAATTTTTAATTCATTATTTCTTTTAAAAAATTTTGAAAAATTTATAATTTGGCACTTGCGATAACAGCTAAAAAGCAAATATCTATTGAAATTGCAAATTATATAATTACCAATTCGGATTTCAAGTAATTAATAAATTAATCTTATACTTTTCTAATATGTTTTTAATTAATATTTTTCTAATATGTTTTTAATATGTTTTTAGAATTTATTTTTATAAAATTTATTTTTAATTTTATTGCAGATAATATCTACAACTAATCAAGATCTTTGTCTACTAATTGCCAAAGAATTTGAACAAATATATGGTGGTTGGATTTCTCATTGATAGACTTTTTTTTTATTCTACATCGTATAATTTGATTAAATAATTAAATATTATTAAGTTTTTAAATTTTTTATTAATAATTAAAGAATATTATTTATAACACAGTATAAGAAAAAAAATTGTTATTGAAAATAAACATTTTACGAATTTTTCGTCAAATTTTAGACAGTAGAATTAAATAATTATAAATATTAATTTTATAAATATTAATTTATATGCATATTTTTGTTGATAATAATAAACAATTTGTATAGATGAGCAACAAATTTAAAAAAATTTAAAATAATAGTTACATTAGACTATTTTATATACAAATCCCGCTAACATAACCTGTTTAAAAATAAAAACGAAGTAAAATCTACGTATATCCATTTATTTTTAATAATGAATTCTAATATTAGCAATGAGAGATAAATTTTAAATATTAATTCTGCACATTTAAAATTTAAATGGTTGAAGTTATATAACATATAGTCAGTTTTTGTTGCATTTTTGATATCTTAGCTATTGCAGGCGCATATAGTGCAGGCGCTACTTCATTTTTGTTTCCAATCTACAACAGGACAATAGGATGTGATTACTACTTATTTATTCTAAACATCGTGGTAATCGATATCTAAATGTATAAAATATATAATATTATCAATAGCCAATGAATTAATATAATTCAGTATCTATATAGTATGTATATATATATTAATATATATATTCTATAGATTAGGATTTTGAAATTTTTCGAATCCAAAATGAAATATAAAATAAATTGATTTTACATAAAATTACAATCCATCACATACATTCTATCTTATTATTTCAATAGTTAAAGATATCATAAATTTTTTAGTTTTATTAAATAATTGAATTTTACAAAAAAAAAAATAGATGCATATGAATTACATATTATTGCATATGTTTCCACAAAATATATGAAAAATATGCAAATTAATTAATGTATTAATTGAAATTTAAAAAAAATTAGATTTCCTATTTAAATTTTATTTTATTACCAATATATTTTTTATAAAAAAATATATGTTCACAATTTTATATTCTTTTAATAATATATGTATATATGTGATTCTTTATCCATAGGTATTGTTTCTACCGCTGGTCATTTGCCTTCGATCACTGGAAATATCAATTACATGTTAGTGATGGGACCAATGACAAGATATGCGGAAGATCTTAATTTGATGATGAATGTGTTAACTTCCAAATGCGAAAAACCTTTACGTTCATATGATTCCATTGAATTAAAAAATCTAAAAGTTTTTTACTTAGATAGCTTTCCTGATATAAAATCATCTTCAAAGGAAATAATTGAGATAGTCTATAAAGCTTCACAATATTTAATAAACAAAGGTGCCATCGTGCAAAGAGTAATTATTTCATAATAATTTTATAATAATTTGATTCTAAAATAATATAATCAAAAAATATTTAAAAATTTTTAACTTTAAGTAATTACATTTGTATCGTAGTTTCCAAAAGAAAAGCTGAAAAACATATTATACATGACATTCTCTTTATTTTCTGAATTAAAAGAATTTAATCTAATAGAGGTAATAATTATTATAATATATTAATAATAAATGAATATATAATATATTTTTATTATTTGCATGTCTTTAATTTAATTTTTTGAAAATTAATTATTTGTTAATTTATTTTTTTTTTTTTAGGGAAGAAATTCAGTTCTTGAAATGGGAAAATCAATAATGGGATTATCATCGTTTACACAAACATGCTGTCTTATACAAATGTTCATAGACAAAAATGCATTTATATCAGTTTCAAAGAAACAATATTATATTAATGCTACAAAAAAACTCACTCGAGAGATGAATGTATGATATTCATATGTATTATACATATATACATATGTATAAGTTTTAATTTTATTATAAAAATGTTTTGTTTATAAGAAAGAATATAAAGATATTTACTTTTATTTTAATTCTATTATTACTTTTCAAAAAATATTTAATTCAAAAAAAGTTGTTCTAAAAGATCTTAACTAATTAATATTTTTGTCTATTAATATCTTTATTTATTCTTTCAATGATATTCAGTTGCATCTTTCTGCTTTTTATATTATTATTCTAGTGAAATAATAATTATGATAATTATAATACTAATGATTATAAACATAAATAGATTTTTAGAAAATCTCATATTTATATCTATATTTGTTATATCGTATCAATCTAAATTTTTTTTATGTTATTTATAGGATATATTAAAAGATAATGGAATATTAATATGCCCGTCCTATTTTCGTACAGCATCTTTTCCACAAACAATGATTTTTGAAATAAATAATTGCATATATAGTTCATTAGCAAATATAACGGGTTTACCTTCAACGCAGATACCAATGGGTATGGATAAAAATAGATTACCAATCGGATTTCAAGTAATTAATAAATTAATGCTTTTCTAATATGTTTAAGATAATTCTAATATGTTTTTAGAATTTTTATTTTTATAAAATTTATTTTTAATTTTATTGCAGGTAATATCTGCAACTAATCAAGATTATCTTTGTCTACTAATTGCCAAAGAATTTGAACAAATATATGGTGGTTGGATTTCTCATTGATAGACTTTTTTTTATTCTACATCGTTATGAATATTTTGCTATGAAATAAATATTATTTATCAATAGGTTGCAGATGTTTACATAAATATAAAAATAGTTTATGTAAAATTATTATAGAGAATAAATAATAATGAAACGGAATTTATAAAAAAAACTCTTTGAAATTAATAAAAATTAAAAAATAATAAAAAAAATTTACGTATAAATATATGTAAATAAATATTTTTTATTTACATATTTTGCATTTATTAATTTATATGTATTATATGCTCAATTTATATTATTTTTTTAATGTAGCTTATTTATATAAACGTTTGTAATTTAATTATTAAAGATTGTAAACAATGTTATGTAATGTTATGTAATAAAAAAAGTAAAAATGTAAAAAAAAAGTGAAACAAATAAATATTTATTGATAAACGTAATTAATTGAAACATATTGTTTATTTGTAGACATTTTCTTTTAATTTCACCAAAATTTGCATGTACAATTTGTATTAAATATCTTATTTTCTTCAACAAACAAATAAAATTATTTATATTATATCTATACGAAGATAGTTTCTTCAACAATGATTTATATTAATTAAAGGATGTTTTTCCATTATATATTACATTATAGAATGTAAAAAAGTTTTATATATTAAAAGTTTATTGTTTTCACAATAAATTTTAATATGATAAGTTAATTTCATTAAATAAATCGAAATATCGTTTTTAAAAAAAAAAAAGAAATTTCAAATTTAATATCTTCCTCTGAATCGTAATTTTTTAATTATAAAATATTCAATATGAATTCATATTGATTTTAAATATTTATTTGAATTTATTTATTTATATTAGAAATACGTATAGTTGCTATGTGCCACCACACTATACATTTACCAATCTATAGATCCATCATATTTGTTATTTTATATTTTCCATGAAAAATTATAATCAATAACAATCAATTTCCATTTATATAACAATATGAATCTTTTTTATCGTGATTTACAAAGTATTACTTTTATTATATAATGAAAAAGGCACACATTCTAAGACACTGTGCTCCTCATTTTCAATATAAAAATTCATAAAATCTATATAAAAAACTATTTTTATTTGTTTAATGGAATAGTCTCATTTCTTACGATCACACGAAGGCACGTAAGGTTTGCCTCCATGTTTTTCCCATTCACGATTGAATTCATGTTCCAAAACTTCTGCACCGCGTTTTCTAGTTAATCCAGTTTCGTCTAGACTCAATTCGCACATTTGCATATCATCAATACCTTTACAAAAAATAATCGTTTTCAATATATTAATTAACATAATAAATATATATGATTATTAATTTTCTTTATGAATCTAATTTTGAAAGCAAGTTATAAATGACATTTATAATAAAAATATATTGCAATGATTTTAATTGTTATAAATAATTGATGATCAAAATATTATATATTGATATATATTATATATTATAGATTAAAATAAATTATCTTATTACTTTTTGCTCTAAATTATAAAGTAGATAAGAATAAATAAAAATGAATTAAAAATGAATATTTAGAATTATACCTGCTACCAATAAAATTGGTGCTTTGTCTGGATGAAGTTCCATCTGTCTAGCAACATATTGACCATCGAAATGAGCGTACCACCATCCTCGCTTACCAGGTGCATGCGAGTCTTGTTGACCTGTTACAGTTGGTCGTACAAAAGGAATTCTAAAATATCGTTGCGAAGATTCGACTATGGATTGTTTTGTTTGAGATCTTGGTGTTTTTGTAGCTGAAAAAATATTAAAATATATTAATATAATATATTCTATCTAATATGTTCTATCTAAATAACATGTTTCTTATACAAATCTAAATTTTATACAATTTTAAATTTTACCAGCTTCCATGATAGATTTTGGTGCCCTTTCATTTTCATCCATGATTGTTCGTCTACGATTTCTTGCTTTCCATGCATGATAAACTTTTAATCTTCGGTGGAATTCATGACGACAAGCCTATAAAAAAATTATACTACCATTCTTGAATTTATTTTATTAAATAAAATGTATGTAATTTTACCTCTAACAATTCGATATCGCAGGATGTATTTATTGCATCTCGTAATTCTGAATATTTCCATTTAGATAAATCATATTTTTTATTAATCAAAACTGCTTGATTATTATGTATTTGTTCCGATCTATCGTGTCAAAAAAATTAATCAATAGAGATGAAATATATTAGTTTATAAAATTATATATATATTTATATGTATATAATATTCTTACATTTATATATATATATATATATATATATATATATATATATATGTATTAAAAATGTATATGTACATATATTAAAAAAATTTATACAATTTATAATATATTTATAAATATAAATATTAAATATTTTAAATAATTTTTCTATGTATATGTAATATAACTTCAATATAATATAGCTCACATGTTCTTCTATACACATATAATATACACATATATAAATAATATTCATACAATATGATTTTAATATATTTATATAGAATATTTATATGAAAATATTTGTTTATCTTATTTTAATAAATGATCTTTTAAAAATGAATTATAATATAATGTAATTTGTCAAAATTTTATAAATATAGTTATGATTCATTTTTTCTCTATGTTGAAAATTTTTTTATAAATTTTTACAAATTTCATGAATGTAAATATAATACAATTTAATTTTAAATTGTATATATAAAAAATTCTTGATGTTTTTTGTGCATGTTGTAGCTATATTTTAATTGTGTTTTTAAAAATAACATTTATAATATTGTTTTATGATAATAAAAATATTTTTATTTCAATACTATTAGGTGTGCAAATAAGTTCTTTTTTTTTCAAATTCAAGATTTTATTATAAATCAGGTACAAGATTGTCTCAAGACTATAAAATGTGTCAAAGTATTCATCCTCATTCTCTATAACCTTTTTCCACCTAGTGAGTAAATTATAAATTCCATTCCTGAAGAATGACGGCTTGCTAGTTATGAAGTCATCAATATATTTTCGGATTTCTTTTTTCGAATTGAAATGCTTTCCCAATAGTTGGTATTACAGATTTCGAAAAAGATGATATTCTTACGGGAATAGATTTAGAGAGTATGCCGCAGGACTTTCCATTTCAATGCATAAATTGTGTTCTAAATGTAGCCAAGCATTGTCATGCTACAAAATCACGTATTCTTTGTCCAGTAAATGGCCATTTTTACTCTAGCTGATCGTTTAAATTGATTAATTGATAGTTATTGCCCTTTCATGTGAAAGCAATTCATAATGAGTCCTCGGAAATCTCACATAGAAAGCAAAACTTTTTTGCAATGCAAGTTCGATTTTGCTACTGAAATCAGCGGTTTTCCGAGATTAAGCCATGATTTTGTCATTTAGGATTGTCATATAAGATCCATTTCAGTAACAATTTTGTGCAGAAAACTTTTTCTTTTATGTCGTAAAAGCAAGACAACAGAAATCTCGAATCTATTTTTCTTATTCATTTCGTTTAATTCATGTGAGACTCATCAACTTCTGAATCTTACTCAATTGTTTCAATCGAATAGATATTGCTTGTCTGATGACTCTCAATCTTTCTGCCAATTCTTTTTCCGGTCAGATTTTCATTGAGCAATTTCTCTAACTCACCATCATCAAATTTTCTCGGTGCACTTGAACAATCGAACGTTATCTTTCAAATTGAAATTCTTGGTACGACTATTTGTATGTTCTGTATACAGCGTTCTTTTCCAGCCGCATAAACCATTTTAATAGCTTCAACAACTGATTTTCTAAGCTAAAATGCCAAAAATAAGCAGTGACGCAAATGATGTTTCTCGTACGCCATATTGCTTGAAATTGTTGCATAGGACTGAAAACTCTTAGAGCGCTTATCATGGTTCTTCTTAAAAACAAAAAAACATTTTTTCACAGATGGTACAAATGGATAATTCGAATTCAATTAAAAGTTATGAACGTAGAAAAAAGGAAAAGGAACTTATTTGCATATCTAATAGTAGAGTTATCTTCGCCTCTCTTTTCTAACTCTATGAATCTAAATGATTTATTTGTGTACAATCAAAATTTATATAAAATTTATTATTTTGATAATTTTATTTAAGTTTATTTTTATTTTTTATAATTGTTCAATAAACTTTTTCAGATTAAATGGAATTGCTTTTTATTATTTGATAAATAAAATTTATGTTTAAAAGAATCTTTTTATAATTTATTTTTTTAACTTAATTTTTTATAATTAATTTTTTTAATTTTTTAAACTTATTTTTTATGTAATTTGAATCTTATAATTTATTTGATATTTTTATAGAATAAAAATATTGCATTATAAATTATTTATAATTTATATTGTATATGTTTTAAATTAAAAAGAAATTTAATTTAAATTTAAATTTTCGGTAGAATATAATATATTTCTCTTAAATCTTGTTTATATATCGAGAAAATTATTTCGAAATAAATAAATAAATAATAAAAAATAAATAAATATTATTTAAATAAAAAATATTATTATTCTATAAGCAATAAAATTCAAATATCGTTAATATTTCAAAAAATAAAAATTAGTAAATTATCTACTTAAAATAAAATTATAATAAATTATTAAATATTAGTATATTATTTTTAATTAATTTTATAATTATTAAATATTAATATAATATTATTTTGCATGCAGTAAATATCGAATGTTACATTACCTTATTAGCCTGTTGTTTGATGGTATTCGTACATCGGAACCACTATATGTACATATTTAAAAAATAAAATTTTATTTTATTAAAAAAAAATTTTTAAAAAAATTTTTCGAGTTATATTATATTTTAGCCATTATATATTTTAGCCATATTATATTTTAAATAATTAAATAATTTAAATTTATTTATTATCAGTTTAGATTATTCTATTTTTTTAAAAATTATAAATCAAAGAAAAACGAAAAAAATGATGAAATAAATTTTAAATGTTAGAATTGATAAAAATAATGCGAGATATAATACCTTCGTACAGGTGGTGGAGAATCTTCAACTTGTCCGTTTGATTCTTGAGCTAATCTTACTGCTAATTCGTGATCTCTTCTTTCCTGTTC